ACGAAGTCAGTACCCCGGTCGAAAAAATCGGTTCTGCATCAATGCTGCACTAGTACTGAACCACCCTTGCCTCGTAAACGGGAGCTCCTACTTGATGGAAGGCCCAGCAACGATTTTCAAAGTGAAAATAAACTCAGGATAGCAATGGGCTCTGATAAGTCCAAAAGAGCCCCCTGATTCCTATCTCTCGTGACATCCAGTGAAACCAGCGCGTCAACTACCTGCAAATTCTATCGCACACAATCCTTAGATTGTTCGTGGTCGCCACAGAAACACGCCCTTCTCATCCAGAATGACTGCATTCAGCTCCTTGTCCCCTGTACCACTTGGAGCATCTATTGATAGTGCTCGGGTATACACCAAAACGATGATAATTGTCGCGTGCCAAAAACCCTCAACGTCGAAGTCCAATGATTTAGGGACGGTGTCAGTATCAGTCAACCGCTGCAGCTACCATAGATTTTGGTGGTTGAACAAGGTAAGCATAAACAATTCTACACCACAGTACCAAAACTAGGACAGAAGAAAACAGCATCTGTGAATATCAGTTCAAATTGTTTGCTCATGCGTTGTCTCCGTAATTTTGGCGCACCCTGTATAATAGTTACCAGGAACAACCACCATTACGTATAATAAAAGGCTAGTAACCGACAACTATCGGCTTCGAGGAAAGGGGAAAACACCTTGACTCCGCGAGCAATACCTCGTAGATGCGTGCGAAGCTGCCAAAGGGAAAAATTAGCTCGAACAGTCGTAAGTTAGCTATACTAGGGATTGAACGCATTCCTGACAATGAATTATTCTTACCACCCAAAATAAAAATTCACACACATGGAATTGTTCAACTTCTGACCGTAGCAAGAGAACTGAGAAAAAAAGAAAATCTTACAAGGCAGAAAATTAATAGCAAGAAGTATCTTTGACTTCATCAGACTCGATTGCAAGATTCAGCGACTGCGATCATTGGGCAAACTGAGGTCATACTAACAGAACTTTCCGGAATTTATCATATTCAGAACTATTCTCTAAACCTTACATTGCTATGGAATCCCTTATGAGTGTACTATATATAGGCTCCTGTCTTGAGCAAAATCAAAACTGTGACGAACTGAAGAAGACATACTAAAACGTCGAGGAAATTTCTCCAGGTTGTCTATTTACACATCATGGACGACGAGTCCCCAGCCTCCACGCATAAACGCAGAAAGCGTCCATTTCAAGGAGCACTGCTTTTTTTTCTATTCGTTAGGGTTCCATCAATGAATTGGTATTCGCCTTGCTTTTGTTTTTTCATGATCAGTTTACCTCTTTACTGTGAATTTTGCCCACTCTTTACGGCTCGTCAGTATGGCACCGAAAATGAGGGTTGTTAGATTATAAATGTCAGTGGGTGGAATCAGGAGCTTTGAAGAATCGAAATGTTTGTTGCTTCAAACATATGTGACATTAAGCAATTATTCCAAATAGTGGAAGTTGTTGAAGGACAGGAATCAGTTCAGAGCTAATCCGCTTGCCATTGCAATAGAAACTGAAAAAAAAATCATGAAGTCCTCTCTTTATCTTAATCATGGTAGATAGTTGACCAAAAACTAATTGTAAGCAAACAAGTTCAAGTAGAAATCAAAACTGTCTCTAAATGCATTTCTCGGAATAAATGGAATATTATGAAGGCACCGTGGGCTGTGCTCATCGCTGCCTTTGGGAACAATTGCTTCGAACATGGCTTGTAGCTATGCTTTTGTAGGTACGTCCCACAACAAAACCCTCTCTCCACTGAATGGTAAACAGCATTAGGTCTGAGCAAACATCACGTCAGAAATTCCAGCAAAATCATATGCGTATGGGGAGAGTTCCTCGTTTAGCGCTCTAGACGTTCACGTATGTGACTGTATTTAATTGAACTGCTATCGGATTAGCAGCGACCGAGCTGGTGATGACACGACAAGGTCACGATCTGCGACCATGGACTCGACAAAAAACAAGAATGGCTGTCCAACCTTCCCTGATATCATAATCTAATAAGTTGTGAACTGAGGCGCTTCATTTTTGTCGAGGCCACTCAGAAATCAGTCTCGGTGCCAGTCTCACTGCAAAGGTATCAGAAAACAATGGCCATTTGCACTATTTTCCTCAAACGCTGGCATGCTGGACCATCAAGGAAAAATAGTCCAGCTTTTGAGAAATTCAAGAAATGATATGAGATCCAAGATTCAAGCAGGGTCAACCGTGCGTTGCGCAGATTTCACAATTTTACGACCCTCCCACCT